CCAAATTCCCAATGAAAACACCAAATTCCCGCGGAAAACACCAAATTCCCAATGAAAACACCAAATTCCCGCTGAAAACACCAAATTCCCAATGAAAACACCAAATTCCCGCTGAAAACACCAAATTCCCAATGAAAACCCCAAATTCCCAATGAAAACACCAAATTCCCGCGGAAAACACCAAATTCCCAATGAAAACACCAAATTCCCAATGAAAACACCAAATTCCCAATGAAAACACCAAATTCCCGCCTGGAATTGTGAAATTCCTGCCTGGGAGCCCCAAATTCCCTTCCTGGAACCCCCAAAATTCCTCTCTAGAACCCAAAAACTCCCTCCTGAAATCCTAGAATCCCATCCCAGAATCCCAAAATTCCACCCAGAATCCCAAAATTCCACAGAATCCCATCCAGAATCCCAAAATTCCACAGAATTCCACCCAGAATCCCCAAAATTCCACAGAATCCCATCCAGAATCCCAAAATTCCACAGAATTCCACCCAGAACCCCAAAATTCCACCCAGAATCCCCAAAATTCCACAGAATTCCATCCAGAATCCCCAAAATTCCACCCAGAATCCCAAAATTCCACAGAATTCCATCCCAGAATCCCCAAAATTCCACCCTGAATCCCAAAATTCCACAGAATTCCACCCAGAATCCCAAAATTCCATCCCAGAATCCCAAAATTCCACAGAATTCCACCCAGAATCCCAAAATTCCACCCAGACTCCCAAAATTCCACAGAATCCCATCCCAGAATCCCAAAATTCCACCCAGACTCCCAAAATTCCACAGAATCCCATCCCAGAATCCCAAAATCCCATCCAGAATCCCAAAATTCCACAGAATTCCACCCAGAACCCCAAAATTCCATCCCAGAATCCCAAAATTCCTTTCTTGAACCCAAAACCTCCCTTTAGAAACCCCAAAAATTCCCCTTTAGAGACCCCAAATCTCCCTCCTAGAAGCCCCAAATCCCCTCTGGAAACCCCCAAACCCTCCCAGAATTCCCGGAATTCCCGGAATTCCCGGATTTCCGCTCCGTACCCTCCCTCAGGCAGCCGATCCTGTACATCACGGGCATCGCTCCTGGGACCCCCCAAATCCCCCTTTAGCACCCCAAAACTCCCTCTCAAAGCCTGGAAATTCCCCTCCGGAACCTCCCGGAATTCCCGGAATTCCCGGAATTCCCGGATTTCCGCTCCGTACCGTCCCTCAGGCAGCCTATCCTGTACATCATGGGCATCTTGATGACGAAGGCGAACAGGTCGTCGATGAAGGTGTTCAGGGCCTTGTAGGTGAGCATCCGCCAGGGCAGGTGAGCCACCGACTGCAGCTTGTAGTTAATGAACAGCTGGGGGGTCATGGTGATGAATCCTGGCGGAAAAACGGGAATTTTGGGAATTCTGGGAATTTTTTGGGAATTTTTGGGAATTTTTTAGGGGATTTTAGAGCGATTTTGGAGCGATTTTTGGGGGTTCCCAGGTGAGCATCCGCCAGGGCAGGTGAGCCACCGACTGCAGCTTGTAGTTAATGAACAGCTGGGGGGGCATGGTGATGAATCCTGGCGGAAAAACGGGTATTTTGGGAATTTTTTGGGATTTTTTAGGGGATTTTAGAGCGATTTTGGGGGGATTTTTGGGGGGTCCCAGGGGAGCATCCGCCAGGGCAGGTGAGCCACCGACTGCAGCTTGTAGTTAATGAACAGCTGGGGGGGCATGGTGATGAATCCTGGCGGAAAAACGGGTATTTTGGGAATTTTTTGGGATTTTTTGGGAATTTTTGGGGATTTTTGGGGATTTTTTGGGATTTTTTAGGGGATTTTAGAGCGATTTTGGGGGTTCCCAGGTGAAGGTGGATGAAGGTGCTGAGTGGAGTTTGGAGTGCAGATGAATCCCAAAAAAAACCTGGGAATTTTGGGAATTTTTGGAGTCATTTTTGGGAATTTTTTGGGAATTTTTGGGGATTTTTGGGGATTTTTTAGGGGATTTTAGAGCGATTTTGGGGGTTCCCAGGTGAAGGTGGATGAAGGTGCTGAGTGGAGTTTGGAGTGCAGATGAATCCCAAAAAAAACCTGGGAATTTTGGGAATTTTTGGAGTCATTTTTGGGAATTTTTTGGGAATTTTTGGAGTCATTTTTGGGAATTTTTTGGGAATTTTTGGAGTCATTTTTGGGAATTTTTTGGGAATTTTTGGAGTGATTTTTGGGCATTTTTGGAGTGACTTTTGGGAATTTTTGGAGCGATTTGGGAGTGACTCTGGCGGGATTTTTGGGAATATTCACAAAGCCAAAATATTCGGGTTCAATTTTCCCGGGGATTTTTGGGGACAATTCCGGTTCATTTTTCCCGGGGATTTTCCATTTTTCCCAGGGATTTTTCCATTTTTCCCAGGGATTTTTCCATTTTTCCCGGGGATTTTTCCATTTTTCCCGGGGATTTTCCATTTTTCCCGGGGATTTTTCCATTTTTCC